AGCCACACTCTGAGTGTGGGAAGAGGTGCCCAAACCTGGGAGGAAAGGACCCAGGTGTCCTCAGATGCCCTGGGAAGGAGGGTGCTCTCTCCAGAGGGATGTATCCCATGATTTTGACTTGCTCAGGGAGCAGTGTGGCCATGCCAAGGGGTTGGGGTGTGTTTTTTGGGGGGGGGTGTTCTGCCTCCCGGTCCTTTTATTTATTTTCCAGGCTTTTCTTCCGGCCCTGAGGTAGGGTCATGTCTTCTTCCAGCTTTGCTGTGTCAGCCTGAGGGCTGTGAATCCCCTCTTTATTTATCTTAGCTGGAAGCTGACATCCCACTGCATTCTCATGACTCCAGGACCTGGGGCTTTAACAAAAATGCTAACTATTAGAAGCCTCTCCGTGATTTTTGCAGCCTTTTCGGAGGGGATGGGGAGTGCAGGAGTTTGCTCCAGCCCTTAAAGCCCCAGTTTGTTTGTGGAGCAGAACTGACACACTCAAACCCTCTCCTCTTTCTTGCTGCTGGTGTTTCATTCCTCTCTTTCTCCCATCCTCACTGTGGGAAAATCCAGCTCTGGAGCTGAACCCTGTGGCTTTCTCCTTTCTCCCCTCCAGTTTAAACCCACTCCTTGTCCCCCATCCCAGCCCCACGACCATTCCTTCCAGTCTTGGGGCCATTCAGCTCCCAGTCCAAGCCCCCATGGATGAGCAGTCCCAGTGCTGCAGAGCAGTGGAAGCTGTGGGGATAAAGATCTCCATCTGCCGCTAACACCTTGTACTGCAAACACCTCCTCCCGGACCCCCGAGGAATCCTCCTCTCTCCCAAAGCCACAAAGAACTCAAGGGACTGGGCAGGCAAAGCCTCAGGCAGAAATGGGAAAAGGGAGAAATAAGATAAGGCAGAAAGAGAGGGAAAAAACAGGCCAAGGGGTTTCTGTTTCCCTGGAAAAACATCTCAGGATGCTCAAGGTTTCTGGCTCTTCGCTGCATCATGGATTTTCCTCTCTTGCCACCACCCTGTGGCTGTTTTCTCCTCATCATCCTTTTATTCAGGGGATGGAAAAAGGGGAAGATATGAGCTGTTCCCAAAAATCAGTCCCTGGAGATGGAGTGTGCAGGGCCAGGGGACTCCATGATCCTTGTGGGTCCCTCCCAGCTCAGGATATTCCATGATTTTATGAATTGCTGGTGGGAATTGGCAAAGCAGGAAGGAAACCCAAGCTCCAGCCACTTCCAGGCTGGGAAGCAGCACCTGAGGGTGACCATGTCACCCCACCATGGGTCTTTGTAACTTGTCCCAGAGCATAGAGAGGCTCTGGAAAAGTATATTTGCTGCCACATTCCCACTGGCTGCTTCCTGCTGCCCAGTGCAGGGATTTAGAGTGCATTGCTTGACCCCTGAGGGAGGGGGAGGGTTCTCCTCTGACCCCCCAAAGCCAAATGCACTTGAGCTCTCACTCAGCAGTTGTGGTTTTGTGTCCTGTGCTGTGTTTGAAGTGATCCCATTCACCCTTGGGTTTTCCAGCCCTGTGGCCTGTCCTGAATTGCAGCTATTCCCAATGTGTGGAATTGTAGATATTCTCCTTAAACCTTTACAAAAACAAAGCCAAACTGGTGAGTGCTGTTTGCACAGCATTAGTGTAAAACTGTATTTTGGTGGTCGTGACCTCTGCTGGGCAAATTTCAAGTACAAATTCCATTTAAATCTTGATATTTTCTTTCTTTTTCCTTTAATTTTTCCAATTGCCCAGGAAGCCAGAAACATCCCTGCTCAGTACTAACACAGCAAGGGGCTGTGCTGTGCTGCTCTCCCTGGGCAGAGCATCCTCTGCCTCTCCCACTTCATTCCTCATGGATCTACAGTGCTGCCTCATTTCCCACTTTAGCCAAAGGCTTCAAGCCTCTCCCTGCCTGTTCACCCCCTTCCCAGCCCCTGGGCTGCTCCGGGTGGTTTCCATTAGCACCCCTGCACAGCTCGGGGTGGCAGGGAAGAGTTTGGGCTCCATCCAAGAAATGTGGGACTCACTCTGGACCCTCCTAACGCAGGACATCGGAGGGTTTGATCTGCCAATTAGCCTCAGCCGAGGCTGCTAACGGGAAGCAGATGGAGCTGTGTGTTATCAGAGGGGAAAATCTGCCACTTCCTAGTGAGAACCTGGCTCAGCTTCCCAGTAGCTCCTGGCTCCGGGGATGGATAGCCGAGCGCTTCGGGATGAGCTGGGGAACTGCTGAACAGCTGTGGCTGCACATGGGAAAGGGATTGAAACCTTACCAGAGTGCTCCAAACCTGTTGTCTGTCTTTATTGGCATCACCTGTGCTTTCCCTAGGCCTTTTCCCCAGAAAAGTCCAGAAATCCAGAAGTATCCAAGCAGGGATGCAGGAGCAGGACTGTGCCTGGAAGCTCCTGTCTCTCCCAAACACCTGCCCAAGCGTTTATCAGCTTCAAAAAGCCACTGTTTAAATAGCATTAGGGGACTGATTTAGAGTCACAAAAGCCATGAAATTCAGAGTTAAGGCTAAAAAAATCCACTTGACACTGTGGCCTTGAGGCATAAAAGGCGTGAGCCGAAGGCAGTGCCGGGCTGGGCACTCAGCTCCTGGGCTGTGGCTCCTTGGATCACCCTGGATCTCCTGGCTGCCAGGAGAGGGGAGAGGCAGAGCCTGTAATGAGATTGAAATGAGTTGATGGCTGGGAAGGTTCAGGGATGCTGTTCAGAGGAGCTTTGAGGGGGTTTATCCTAAGTTGAGGGGCAGGAGGTAACTTGGCTGAACTGTGGTCCCACCTGGCTGATCTCTGAGGGTTTGGAGCCCATCCCTACAGTCAGGCTGGGCCCAGTTCTTTCCTCTGCTGTGGGATTGGGGTGTTTTCCTCCCCACTGGGAGATCAGGGTGGTTTTAGAGCTGAATTGGGCTCCCATGTGCCCTCCCAGTGTGCAGAACCAGGATGTTTTGGAGAAACGTGGATGAGTACAAGAAGGAATGGCTTTAAACTGACAGAGAGATTGGATATTAGGAAGGAATTTTGCCCTGTGAGGTGCTGAGGCACTGGCACAGGTTGCGCAGAGAAGCTGTGGTTGCCCCAGCCCTGGGAGTCTTCCAGGCCAGGTTGGATGGGGCTTGGAGCACCCTGGGCTGGTGGAAGGTGTCCCTGCCCATGGCAGGAGGTGAGACTGGAAAAACTTGCAGATCCTTCCAATCCAAACCAGTCAGAGATTCTGTGCTGCTGCTGAGGCACCTACTCCTCATTCCTGCCTCTCTCTCCTCCTGCAAGGGCAATGGTTTAGCTTCAGCAGAAAATACAGAGCCGGGTTGGTTTTATTTAAAGCTCCTGAATGCTCTCTCTCGATTGTGCTCTTTATTTGACAACAACGTGAAGAAATATTTCATGAAACAACACAAAGGGCTTTGTAACTTCTTTTATTGCACATTTTTCTAGTTGAACCAGCATCCACAGGAATTACTGCCACTCTTCCCTGACCAGGCACAGACTGATATCAATACTGAGATCAATACTTAATGCTTATTACAACAGCCTTAACAGGGTTATCCACTCTATCTGCAAATCCTGATAATTGAACAGTTATTAATTATAGGTGTTAGGAACAACTACATTTGTAAATTAGAGCTGATCCTGGGAGGGTGCAAGACCTCATGTGTAAGATCCCTTTTCCTGTTTGCATTGCAGGTCTCAGTGCTGAGTCCTTACTGATAGAGCAACCAGGGACCACAAAGGTCACAACTAATTTAGCTTGTGATTTAACTCCTGAACTCAGCAGCTTGCAGAGCCTCAGAAACGGGGCCATGGCAGAGAGAGCAGCTCCCCAGGATGGGAGTGGAATCCTGGACCTCCTGTTATTGCCCACCTTAAATTCCTTCCTGGGGTGGTGAGGGATGAGGGATCCACCTGAGCAGCTTGTGCAGGAACATTGCTATTACTGAAACACCTCTTAAAAGCTTTTCATTTCTTTCCAGTGCTCGTGCAAGGATCAGAGCAGAGGTAGCACCAGAGATGGAACAAGGGGACCAAGTGGGGTGTTACTGCTCCATCTGTCCCATGTCTGAGCCCACCTGCAAGCTCATGTGCAGGTAACCCTGACCCTGGGACCACCTGTAAGGTCCTGTGCAGGTCACTCCAGCTGAGGGCTTCAAGGGATGGAATAAGGCACTAGAACTCATTTCCAAGCAGCACCACAGCTGCCCTCTCCTGGCACAACCTGCCTGCTGCCAAGCTCTCTTCCTACATCCAAAACCTTTAGGAAGGTGTGTGAGGCTTTGCTCTTGCTCAAGAATGGTGAGAAAACAAGGCTCAAGGCTCTCTGGTGGTTAAAACAAGCCCAGCTTCCCACACCACCTGGGAAGGCTGGTACAGGCAGCCCTTAACATCCAGGGATTTTGGCTGGTGGGGGTAAAAGAGGCCGTGGGGACAAAGGGAGGGACATTGCTCAGTACAGGTGATGGGGACAGGGTCAGTCTCTTAACGCTCATCTGCTTTAAGTCCATCAGATGGGGACAAAGGGAGGGACATTGCTTGGTACGGGTGATGGGGACAGGGTCAGTCTCATAACGCTCATCTGCTTTAAGTCCATCAGCCCCGTTGAGAGGGAACTGTGCTGGACTGCTGGGGCTGGAAAAAATGGGAGGAAAAGGGAACTGGGATCCAGGTATGCCTCTGCAACCACCCCTTAATTAATTAACTACACATGCTTCCATAAAATCATCACAGAATCATTCCATGGAATCACTGAGGTTGGAAAAGACCTCTAAGATCATCGAGTCCAACCCAGCACTGCCAAGGCCACAACTAAACCACATCCTTAAGTGCCACATGACTAAGAGAACCAAAAGGGACTTTCAAGTTTACAATTTAATACCAGCTGATTTTCCTTTCAAAAGAAAACCCTAAGCTGCTCAGGTTAGAGATCAGTAGACTGAAGTGCTTTGTAAGGCTGCAGCTGTGAAGCCACTGTGCGTTGAGGTTCAGTAGTACCAGAGCAGGATTGGGGGGAGCCAAAGGCATCACTGCATGTAGGCGTAACGCCAGTCCCCCAGAGGCACGTGGGTCTCTTTGACAGCCTGAGGTGATGTCCAGCGCAGGATGTAGTGAGGACCTCCAGGTTTGTCGTTGGTGCCTGTTCCGGAAGGAGAGAAACACTCGTGGTCCTCCTCCTGGAGAACAGGGGACTTGCCTGGCTCAGTGTGTGGCCAGGCAGGTAAGTGCTGCGTGCACAGAGGAGTTGTGGTCTCACCTGAGATTCGAGAGCCCCCAAAGGGCTGCTGAGCCACCACAGAGCCAGTTGACTTGTCGTTGATGTAGAAGTTGCCGGCAGCGTTGCGCAGGAGGCTCCTGGCCTCCTCGATGATCCTCCTGAGGAGGGACACACACGGCTGTGAGCACAACAGCAAACACTTGTGTGGAGGGCTCTGCTCTCCTACAGCCATTAAAGTTGGGCAAAAAGCATCTTTATGTTTCTTTGGGCATATTTTCAGGGCTGCATGTTGTTTCACACACACTGATGAAAGTGCTGCATACTTAGAAATTATCCCTGGGTTTAGATTATTTCTCTCCTTAAGTTCTAGGCAACAGCTTTTCTGGGCAACCTGTGCCAGTGCCTCAGCATGCTCACAGGGAAGGATTTTTCCCCAGTGTCCCATCTGTCCCTGCCCTCTGGCAGTGGGAAGCCGTTCCCCCTTGTCCTGTCACTCCAGTTCCTGACGGAGTCCCTCTCTAGCTTCCCTGTAGCCCCTTTGGGTACTGGAAGGCTGCTAGGAGGCCTCCACACAGCCTTATCTCTTGTTGCCCTGAGCAGCTGTGGCTGCCCCATCCCTGGAAGTGTTCCAGGCCAGGTTGGATGGTGTTCGGAGCAACGTGGGCTGGCAAAAGTTGTCCCTGCCCAGGTGGAATGGGATGAGCTTTAAGGTCCCTTCAACCCAAACCGTTCTGTGATAACATAGAATGAGGTTACACTGCTCTTAGCCCTCCTCCTGCTTGAGAAGGCTGTGGGTACACTCTCCCAAATGCTCCAAATGTTCCTTTGGAAAAGTTTCTTCCTTAGAAAAGCATTTTTAGGCTATGAAACTACTGTAGACACATCCCCTTCCCTCCTCAGTGGGAGAAGGGCTAAAAGCAGCAGAACTTTGCGGGAAACGCTTTCTTTCCTCCTCTGGAGAGAAGCAACCCCCACGGCTCGTCCAAGAAGGGAAAAGCATTCCCAGTGTGGATTTCGGGACTCACTTCTCCTGGGCGAAGATCGCCCCCGTGAGGCCGTAGGGTGTCGTGGTGTCCACGAGCTCCAGCACCTCCTTGTACTTCTTCTCCGGGTACACGTACACCGTGAGGATCGGCCCAAAAATCTCCTGTGCAGCCAAAACCAGAACATGCTCAGTAGGGAAAACCTCCAAAATTAAGCAGTGGGTGCTTCAGAACCCCATTAGCTCAACTTGTGATGAACCTGCAGCCCCTCCCTGAGCAGCTCATCGCGCACAGCTCCACTCACACCGCCCACTTTGACTTTCCCATGCTCCTCCAACAGGTGTTTTTGGGATAGGAACCCACAGCTCCTCTCCTTCCCCCTCCCCACAAGCTGCTCTCACCTCTTTCATGATGGGATCCTGTGGGTCTTTGCTCTCCACAATGCAGGGCTCCACAAAGTACCCCACGCTGTCATCGCAGCCACCTCCAGCCAGGATGGTGAGGTTGGATGACTTCTTGGCATGCTCCAGCCACTTCTTTATCCGTGCAAAGGACTTGGGGAAAAAAAAGGAATAATAAAAAAAAGTGTGAGTTTGGGGTCTAAAAGGAGGTTTGGGCAATGGTGGCATGGCTACACTGCCCTGGGTGCTCTTCCAGCTCAGAAGGAGTGGGAGCAGGAAATACAGTCCTGGGCACTCATATCCAAGATAATTTCTGAGGGAATAACCCACTTTTCAAGAGGGGCAGTGACTAAGGCATGAAGTAATCAGCTCTACCTAAGCACTGAGGTTCCTGCTTTGCTGTAAGCAATAAAATCCATGGAAACTCACACTTACTAGAGCCTGATGTTGTTACTTTCTTGCACAAGGAGAGGTGAACTCACCTTGTCATCGATCACTGCAGAGAAAAACGTCCCAAAGTCCTGGGCAGGCTGTGGGAAGACAGAAAGGAGGCAATGTAAGTACACAGTGTGCCTAAAAGCTAACTCTAAAACGAGGAGGAGCTGCAATTCCCCAAACAACACTTCCCTCTGCTCGGAACACACCTCTGTTGGAGGGCTCGAGCTCCCCTTTTCAATTAGTCTGCAGGACTCAGCCACTCACACAATCCTTCCTGCAGACTCTGGCTACAAGTTAATTTCTAATCACTAAAAAAAAAAAAAAAGATGAAGGGGGGCACGGAGGGGCGGTGGTGGGGGAGAACCAGTGGATAAAAAGCTCAGTTCAATAGGAATTAGTAGCCAGTTACCGCAGTCTCTAATCCCATCAACCACCCGCTGAGCCGCAAAGCCCTTCAGCAGCCCGGCAGCTCCGCTCACATCTCCCACTTTGATCTTCCCGTGCTCCTCCAGCAGCTTCTCTTTGATCTGGGGCCACAGCGAGTCCGGGGCGTAGAGGCGAGAGCAGGCAGAGCATTTCTGGCCGCCGTACTCGAAGGCTGAGCGCAGGGTCCCGTTCACCACACTGCCCACGTCGGCTGAGCTGTGCACCAGGTGGAAGTTCTTCCCACCGCACTCTAGGCACGGAGAAGAAAGGAAAAAATGCAAGGGAGGAGTTGTCAGGGATGTGATAGCTGCAAAAAGCACCAGGTATGGGCAGGTTGCTTGTTGATCACCCTGCCTGGTCCATGATTCCTTGGTTTCATGATCCCGGGACAGGACAGAGCTCGAGGAGCTGGAGCAGGTTTATAAAATTCATGGAAAAGGGATCAACCTGAGTTCCCAAACTTTGCATGGAGGCTCTGCAACCCAAAAGCACCACCACCTCCCATCCAACTGCCATCTCTCCCCCACAAAACTCCATCCCATGCTGGTGGAAGAGTGTCATAAGCTCCTCCAAACATCCTGTGCTGGTGGGAGCCAATGCCATAAGCTCCTCCAAATATCCAGCAATTCTCTATGTCCTCTGCTAACCAGGAGAGGAATCCTGATCCTCACTTTAGTTTCTCCTCAAGCAGGAGAGAAATTAACCTCTCACCACTGCATGGCCACCCCCCAAAAAGGTGCAAGGAGTGGCAGGTACCTCCAGCCAGGCGTGGGAAATTGCGGTAGCGATCCAGGTTCTCCGACACTTGCTTCCAGAGCCGCTTGAAAGTGCTGGAAGAGGAAGGAGGAGCTGGTTAGTGCACTCCTGCTTTGGCACATAGGGATGGCACTTGGAATAGCCACACAGAATCATAAAGGTTGGAAGAGATCCCTAAGATCATCAAGTCTAACCATTAACCTGTCACTGCTGCAACCCCTAAAGCCTAAACCAGATCCTCCAGTGCCACCTCTCAAACACTTCCAGGGATGGTGGCTCTATCACCTCCCTGGGCACCCTATTCCAGTCTGAAAAAAAAAAATCACATAGGTTGGGGATATGCCCTGCTGTGTCCATCCCCAGATGAAGGGATGTCCTGCAAGGGGAAGAGGAGATGCTGGGAACGAGTTCACAGGTATCAAAGCAAAGGCCCTGCCCAACAGTTTCAAAACCAAACTGCTGCAGTGTCACAGGGAAGAGCAGGGGAGTGAGCAGCCAGCAGAAGTTTCTGTTCCTCCCCTTTCCCCCCCTTCCTTTCTGTCCTTACTGTGACAAACCCCTCAGCTGGAAAACAATAAAAATGCTAATGACCTCCCATCAGGAGGCACAGCCACTAATACTCATTTATGAGCTTCCCACCTTTCCAGCCCGGTGCTCATCCAAGCGTGTCCTTGTCGGGAGGGTGGGGGGAGTGGGTTCCCCAGGTTTAACAGCCTGCGAGGCTGCTGAGACCCTCAGCACCACTGACACACCAGGACACAAAGCCAGAGCTCAGGTGTGCAAATCCACCTGGAGCAGCACCCCTAGCAGTGCCACATGCAAGTCTGGCTGTTCCTGTGCCTTGAGTTTAGCCACAGTGCTACGAAATGCTCCCCCTGTAGTATGAAAACCTGGTTTAAATCCTTTTTTTCCCATCAGTTTGAAAAGCCTGTTTAGTTACGCTGTGTCATGATGGGCTGTTTGCCTGCTGCTACTCCACGCTGGGCTATGTGTTTAAAGCACCCAGCACCCAACTCCTCAGCCCTGTGCCCCCTGCCACCCTCCCCACCCCAACCTACGGCACACTGCCGGTGAAATTGAGGCCACAGAAGTGCTCAGAGCTCGTGATGGTGTCCCCAAACACAGGCCCATCTGCTGGCACGAACTGCACCACGTTGGGGGGCAGCCCAGCCTCGAGGAGGATCTTGTAGACAGCATAGCTGGAGAGCATGGCAGTGTCACTGGGCTTCCACAGCACCACGTTTCCCTGGGGAGAGGACAACACCAGCCATGAGGAAAGGTCTCAGCAATGTTTAAATGCTCTGCCAAACAGCTCTCCCACAGCACACAGGTATAAATGGTCCTTTTTGTACTGTCCTGCAGTCATGGGGATAAACTGAAAGAGGGAAATTTAGATTGGATGTTAGAAAGGGGTTTTTTAGTGTGAAGTGGATGAGACACTGGCACAGGCTGCCCAGGGAGGTTGTGGTTGCCCCAAGGAGGCTGTGGTTGCCCCAGGGAGGTTGTGGATGCCCCAATCCTGGCAGTGTTCAAAGCCAGGTTGGATAAAACCTTGAACAAACTGGTCTGGTGGGAGATGCCCCTGAGCAGGGCAGGGGGTTGGAACTAGATCATCTCTCAGGTCCATTCCAATCCCTTAACATACTATGAAACTAAGATGGGACCAGAGCAATGGCACTTTTGGGTGATTCACAGCCACCTCGACCCCCAGCATTGGTTTTGGAAAGGACTGGGACTGCCCTGCTCAGCTGAAGGCACAAAACCCCTCCCACCTGACTGCTGTGCCAGCCTCCCACAGTGCTCCTTCCACAGGGATCAGAGTTCTGCCCTCCCTAAGAGGAGCTGGAAACATGGACCTGGTTTATGTCTCAGGAAAAGGCACAACACTGCCAAAAAAAATGTGCTTACAACAGTCACCTGTGCTGTCACCTGCTGCCACCAGCTTTGGGCACAACCCAGCAGGTATTTGTGCCAGGCAGAGCAGTGAAACCAAACTTCAGGCTTGGATTAGTTGTGCACAAGCAAAGAGCCCCATGGGCTGGAAAACACCGGTGGTGACACCCCACCCCTTTGGCTCCAATCCATTGTCCTCCCTCCAGCTCCCTGCACAGCCACAGGGGCCCAGTGCCCTCCCGTGTCCCTGTCACACTGCCCGGCCCCACTGCACAGGGTCACAGCCCCGGGGGGGCACGAGGGGGAATTTTGGACTCTGTCTCAACCAGGCTCCTGCTTTCCAGGGACTCACCGTGCAGGCAAAGCTCCTTCCTGGGCCCCACTAATCCTTCCACTCCAAACAGCGAGAAAAATAAAACCACACCCTATAAAAATCTCCAGGCAACTGGGAAATCTAAGCCAGGCCACGACTGGAGGCAGCATTCCCAGCAGCCTGGATTCCAAGGTGCTGCTCCAGTCCCAAGGAAATCCCACTCCCCACACTGCAATGGCATTAACTCTGCTGATCTCTCCAGCTATTTAGGCAAGAGCAAGGTATAATCCCTTGGGAAGAGCACTGTGGGGGCTAAAACACTAGGGCTCTAATTAATACCCCCCTATTAAGTCCCATTTCTTCCTAAATTTAATTCCAGGTACCCCCTACTGCTGAGCTTTTCAAGCCACCTGCTGATGTTCTGCTCCCTTCTGCCCCCAGCCCAGGGCAAGCAGGAGGATTTCATCCTGCTGCAGCATCCCAGTGGGAATTTATTGTCACACTGCAGAAGGGAGAGCTGGATGCACAGCAGGATGTCCCAAACAGCTCCCTCACACCTGCCAGCACAGGCTTGTCCCATCCCAGCAGGGCTCATCCACTCTGGGATGAGTTTATCCCCAAATGGCCCAATGGCCAGGACCTCCCTCAAACCCTGGGGTGGAAGAAATAACCTCTCTCCACCAAAAAAAACTTCCCAGCTCCATATTAGCTTCGCCCTCTTCCCTTTCCTCCCCTACAAAAGCCACAGGTTCAAATTCTTCACCTCAAATATTGCTTTCAATGTGACATCTCCAAATTAAAACTTGGTTTTCCAGCCTCTTCCAGCTGCTGCTGGAGGGCCTGTCTTTGGGGCCAGGAGGAAATCTGAGTTTAATTAGTAAAGAGCTTAGGATAATTTGTGGGTTCTTTTTCCGGTGCAACAATAAATTAATGATTCCTGGTGCAAACTCACAAGGTTATTACAGTCCCTCCCAAAAAATCCACCCTGCACAGGCAGGTACTCCCATGTTCCATGGGGTTGGACACACATAGATATGATTTGTACCAATCCTTTGATTTTTTGGAGCATCTTTCATGCTTGCTGGGATTTCCTGTCTCCCAGTTCAGTGGTAACAACCAGGGCCACGACTTGTCTCCTACCTTCACCCCAACACACCCAAAAAGTGTCAGCCAAGAGGAATTTGAGCAGTTACAAACTGGTTACACTTTCATGTCATGACAGAACCCTGAAGTCCCATTCCCAGGACAAGCACTAGGCAGGGAAACAAATCTCACTGTAATTGTTCCCTGACCTTTTCTGGATCTGAAACCCAGTGGGGAGTGCAAAGACACTTTGTTTCAGAATAAAAACCCCAGGCAGCAGGTTTGGGCAGGTTTTGCTTTTCAAACACTTCCCCTATCATATCAGTCCACTGAAAATCCAGCCACGAGGATGTCTTATAATTAACCACATCAGAGTCTAATTGCTGATTGAATTCAAGGGGACCAAGAGAACAGGACCCTATTGAACAGCACCAGGGAGGCTCAATTCACTCCTTGCAGATGCCAGACCAGGGAAACCACAACCTCAGGGAGATCAGGTTCCCCTCACAGCCTTCCTCCAGATTTGTCCTCTCCCTCCCTGCCCTCCAAACCCACCACAACACTCACCATCAGTGCTGGAGCCCCTGCCAGGTTACCACCAATGGCTGTGAAGTTGAAGGGAGAGACAGCAGCCACGAAACCCTGAGGGAGGGGGGGAAAGGACAAGGAGCAGCTGGAACACAGTGCCACCTCTCACCATGGCATGATGCCACAGTTTGAGGCAAAAAAAGGGATTTGCAGCAGCAAGGGGCCAGCCCCAGCCCTTGCCTCACCTCCAGCCCCCGGTACACCATGCTGTTGGTGCTGATGTCCACACTGATGGGCTGGCTGTGCTCTAGCTCCAGGGCATACTTGGCATTGAATCGGAAGAAGTCTATCAGCTCTGCAGCAGCATCGATTTCCGCCTGGATGACTGTCTTGGCCTGCAGGGAGAGGCCTCAGCCGGTGAGGGAGGGAAGGGGAATGCAGCAGTGCGGCACGGCGGGGCTGGGTGCAGGATGTGGGATGACTCTCAAGCAGGACCCAAGTTTGCTTCCCGAAGATGTGACCTCCTGCCAGCCTCACATCAGCTGATCCTGTTCCCTGGAGCCTGGCTCCCAGCTCCTTCCTCAGCAAAGAGTGAAGATCACTCTGGAGCCCCTCACTGTGTACCTACAGGCATTGGTAACAGCACAGCCATTCCCACTGCCAACATACACACCTTGGCAGCTCTTCCTGCCCTGCTTCCCTGAC